TAGTAGTTGTCATGATTCCCAGCATCAGACAGTGGAATTGGTACATTCTCAAACGTTTCGCCGGCATCATAGTCCGCATCATCATCATCTTGTTCTTCATAGCATCAATTAAACTACGATAGTAAAATTGCCAAACATTGATGATGATGCCGACTACGATGCCGGCGAAATGTTTGAGAATGTATCAAGTCCACTGTCCGATGCTGGGAATCATGACAACTACTATGGCAGACGACTTCGGACTAGTCCCCCTGACAACAAGACCAAGTTGCGAAAACGAGGTCAACCCACTTCTTTCACAAAGTTTATACTTTATCTCAAGTAAACTGGCTTATTTGGTAACTTAGATGCATTTTGAGTGTCTTAAGTGAACTGTTAATGGATTTGCTTTTAAGGGAAAGTGTTAAAAAGTCTAAATAATCCCTACTTTCTGTTCGTCTGCTCCTTCTTCTTCTGCTTGTCTGACGGACACAACTTCACGCTGACCAGGGCACCGGGAAGTCTGCTTTTTGCTGTTGAAAGCAGATGAAATCTTAAGGCAGATTGACTTTTCTGGCATTTTTGCATGAACTTTCAGCCTCTTTCTTCTGATATTCTGTCGGGAATTGTGCTGCCGTACTTGCGAATTCTCATCTCCCATAAACAGTTTGCCATCACTTCGACTGGACGACTGTGAAAGCAGACGCCACGGGTGTTGCTGCCGCGTGTCATGGCGACTGCGTTCAATGCAACAGCCCTGCACAAGCTGCTGTTGTTGCAGTCGCCGTGGCGGTTGATGCAACAGCAGCAACGGTCGTCTCTCCAGAAGACACTCGTGATCGGCCTCCTCTTTGCGGCCATCTTTGCCAGCCTCCACAAAGCCAGTAGCATCACTGGCGGAGCCTCTGGAGACGAGACGGCCATTCAGAAGATGCGAATGGGCCAACAAGATGCGACATACCGTCTCTGGCCGGCAATACTCCTGCCCTGGACGCTGAGGTCTGGGATGCCAGGTCGCCATTCTCGTCTTTCTCCAAGCCGGATGGTGCAGCATTGCGAAGTGACCAGGGCTAGTGCTCTTGGCATCGCGTTTCT